GATGATTCTAGGCCAGTATACATCCTTAACCATCCCAGAGTGGATCAGATGTGTAGAGAATTTGTGATATGTTAGTGCCTGGAGTATCAGCCTCACAAAAGTAATTGTTACCAACAAAAGATTGTGGACAAGTACCACCAGCACAAGGAAAAATGTTAGTACTATTACTGTAATCTGAATAGACACCAGCATACAGTAACCAGACATGATGACGAGGAGACCCACGAGTGATACCAACACCATCAACATAATAAGAATTGACATCATTAACAGATTCACTAACAGCATCAGTTGATTCATATTGATATCCTGTTACTCTACCACATATCTGAGAATAACTGATACCATTAGATGGGTATGTAGCAGAGCTACAGCTACCACCGTTTGTTGCTGATCTACCACAAGCTCTAACTCCTCCTGACTGGTACAGTCTAAACCCAGAAGGACAGTTCTGTGTAGCATCAGTCATATCCAGATATGCTAGTCTTGTCCATCCTCCTCCTGAACTACACAATGTTCCCATATTACAGTATGTAGAATATGTTCCAGTAGATCCTGCCAGTATATAACCTGATGGACTGTTAGGTTGTTGTTCTTGTAACTGCTTAAAAGAGGTAGGTAAAGCAGTTGAGTCATTGTGTAGTACTAATAGTTCTTGTGCTATTAGTAGTATATCATCAACCACTCCAGCAGTAGATGTATTTGCAACGAGACCATGTATATGTACATGTACAAATAACATGATAATAAAAATAAAATTGGGAGTTTAATTGTCATCATTAATATTGTTGCTCACTTTTCTTCTTAACTTTATAATCATGTTGGCCTTCTATAAAAATACAGTATAATAAATAATTAATTTAGTCATAACAATTAACTTACATATGATATTGAAATTGTTACGCCGTATAAAATCAAGAAGTGGTTGTTTAAAATTTTGACAGTCCAGCTCGTTGAGATATCCAAGAAATACAGAAAAATTGTTAGGAACCATAGCACCACCATCATACAAAGACTCTATGAAAACATGATGTGGGACGTCACCATTCACTGGCTGATGACTAAAAAACCTTCCAGTAGCCCTTAACCTGAAACCATGATACTTGTCATCTGGTAACTTGTATAACACTGATAACAGTGCCAGCATTAGCTCAAATTGAATGATACTTCCATCATTTGTGGGAGGATAACTGAAGTCTCCTATCAGGTTTTGAGGACACCCAATGGTTTTAAGAGCGGAGTGCATCAGTGTAGAAGCTGGTACTGGCTCATTCCTCTCGGGATATCTTGTTTGAAGAGCTTGAAGGAGTTGCAGATAATATTCTGCTCCGTTGATCGCATTCTTGTTCCTTATTAGTGGTCACAAAAGCAAACTAAGCCTCCTCTCTGCTGGATTGCCATTAATCCAAGCCTCAGCCATTTTGTCTAGAGTCACACCTACAATAGACAGTTGTTGAGTGGGCTCAAGAAAGCCTTGCTTGCACTATAGACGTGTTTGCACTGATCAGCTGAGCACATGTACATGTACACAGTGAGACATGCACTTTATAGGAAAGTAGATCAGATCAAACTTAATTGTCACATCCTCCAACTGAACATTAATCACTGACAATAGCAAATTCAGCAAAAAAATGCACAAAAAATAAAAAATAGCTTTAAACATTTATTTTATAATTAGCCTATTCTATCATTATCAGCACAATATTCAGCAGTTAACAAAATCACATAGTAGTTTCACTGCAGCTGCCATAAGTAGCAGCTGTAGAGATAGTAATGGGCTCATTTGATTGCTGTTGCTCTTGCTGTCTATCATACTCATCCATTCTGCCAGGAACATGTTGTTCATTATATTCTTGTGGATTCTCCATACGATCAGCAATCCAATTGTCATGATTGCCAACTAATGGCTGAGTTCCATTAGCCACTGGAATATTTCTTTTATGATAACGATGACATGATTTCATCATTTGGTATACCTGGTAAATTATATAGCCTGGTATAATGATGATAAAAATTAGACCATTGACTGCTGGTAGTACAGCTATCAGAATCATAGATACTGCAGTATAACCA